GAGACCAAAGAACATGCAGTCAGAACTCAAATTTAGCCCAATGATGCCAAGTAGGATTCAGAGAAAAAAAAAAATCCCAGGATTCCAATAAGATCAACATAGTTTACTACAGTGCTTCATATTTCCTTACCTAACATTAAGTCAGTATTGTGTTTGTGAATATACACATACATTAGCCATAAGGAACAACTATAGACAGAATGTTCCTCTTTCAAAGTGATTTTATCTTTCAGTTTGTTTGATACTGTCAAGTATACATGTAAAAGGAAACAAAAAATTCTAAACCATAGAGCAGAGTGTAAACTAAAATGACAAAGTTTATCCATTCTCCAAATCCTCCAAATTCCTTCCCCCAAGCCAAAACAAAGATTATTAACAGTTTTGTGGGGGGTATTCTTGGATAATATTTCTACTTATATATAAATATGAACATATATTTTTAAGGTTTTTTTTTACATGAAGAAGATCATACTTAGATTTACAACTTGCTTTTTCACTAGTATCTCCTTCACCTTTCCATATCAGCATATGTAAATCTACCTCATTCTTGTTAATGACTTCCTAGTATTCCTTTGTTACTATATTTTAGCCAGTCCACCATAAAAAGGACATTTAGTTTGTTTCTTTTGGTCTTATTTTGTTTGGTAATTCTACACACAATGCTTTGATGAATAACTTTGTACATTCAGCAGTGAATACTTATAGCTAATATATCTTTAGGAAATGTTTTTTGAACAAGCATTTATTTCTTTTATTTTTTACATGTTTATTGGAATATAATTTCTTTACAAAGGTGTGTTAGTTTCTGCTTTATAACAAAGTGAATCAGTTACACATATACATATGTTCCCATATCTCTTCCCTCTTGCGTCGCCATCCCTCCCACCCTCCCTATCCCACCCCTCTAGGTGGTCACAAAGCACCGAGTTGATCTCCCTGTGCTATATATGGCTGCTTCCCACTAGCTATCTGTTTTACGTTTGGTAGTGTATATATGTCCATGCCACTCTCTCACTTTGTCACAGCTTACCCTTCCCCCTCCCCATATCCTCAAGTCCATTCTCTAGTAGGTCTGTGTCTTTATTCCTGTCTTACCCCTAGGTTCTTCATGACATTTTTTTTTTCCTTAGGAAATGTTTTTTAATGTAAAATTCCTGGGTCAAAAGATACTTGAAAGTTTAAAAGACAGTTCCAAACTACACTCCAAAATCAATAAATAAATTTACATTTCCACTAACCAAGTATGAGCACCCATATCTCCAATATTAGGTTTATCAAGCTTTTCATTTTTACAATCCTGATAGTTGTTTTAAAATAGCATCTTACTGCTTTAATATGCTTCTTTTTTTTTTCACTTATAAGTAAGGTAAAGAATCTTTTCAAATTTTTATTGGTTGCTTTTGCTACTTTTTTCTCCCTATAAATGTCATGCTCCTATTTTGCCAATTCTTTTATTAGGTTGTTATTCTTTCCTCTTCCTGATTTTAATATATCTTTGTATAGTAAGGAAATTTGTCCTTGACATGTGTTGCAAATACAAATTTTTACCAGGTTATGTCTATTAATCTTATTTAAAGAAAGCTTCTTGTCATGTGTAATTTAAAATTTTATAAAGTCAAATTTGTTCTTATCTTTATGTTTCCTGGCTTCCGTTCATTGCTTTGAAATTAAATACTTTCTCATGTCCAAGATAATATACTGACTTTGTGAATTATCCTAACACTTTTACAGTTCCACTGACAATCTAGAATTTATTTTGGGGCTAAAGAAAAAGGTAGGAAATCCAGTTTTGTTTTTTCTTATTCCCTTCATAGAGCCAGCCAGTTTTCTAAGACTATTTATTAAATAATCCATCTATTCTATGATATCGAATGTCATCATCATCATCATATACTCAACATCATCAGATACTAAATTCTATTTCTACACAGGCCTAAGCATGATTTCTCACTTTTGTTCTATTGTTTTGTCTATCCCTGAACAGGTACAAATACTTTATTACCACAGTTCTATTACATGTGTAAACATCTGGCAGGGAATCCTCATTATACTTTTTTCTCTAGAATTCTCCTTGCTATGCTCATATTTATTTTCTAGAGGAAACAAAAAGCCTTTTTTTTAACGTCTTCTCTTAAATTTGGAGGGATTATAATTATAATTATAATTGCACTTAATTTATAGATTAATTTAGAAAAGAACTCATAGCTATCCAATGTTGACTCTTACCAGCCATTAGTTGTGAAAGGAGCTGCAGCAGTAGTGATAAACATGATGATAGCTGTCGTTGTTGAGTACTGTATGCCAACACTACTGGATGAGCTTGTTTTAATAATCACAGTAATCTTATGTGGTATCATTATCTTCATTTCATAGACGAGAAAATTAAGGCTCAAACAGGTTAAGCAACTTGTCCAAGGCCACAACCAATACACAAGTAGCTGAGATTTTAATCTGTGCAATATGACTTGAGTCTACACTCTGAATTACAGTAATTAAAAAAAAGGTGTGGGGGCTTCCCTGGTGGCTCAGTGGTTGAGAGTCCGCCTGCCAATGCAGGGGACACGGGTTCGTGCCCCGGTCCGTGAAGATCCCACATGCTGTGGAGCGGCTGGGCCCGTGAGCCATGGCCGCTGAGCCTGCGTGTCCAGAGCCTGTGCTCCACAACAAGAGAGGCCACAAGAGTGAGAGGCCTGCGTACCGCAAAAAGAAAACAAAAACAAAAACAAAACACAACAAGGTGTGTCTTTCACTTATTCAACTGTCCTCAAGTGGCTTTTTAGCTTTCTTCTTTTAGGCCATGCAAATTAATTGTGTAAGTTAATTCCTAGGTAAACTTAGTTGCTATTTTAAATGGGACCTCTTCTTCCATTACACAGTTGACCCTTGAACAAGGCAGGGGTTAATCTGTGTATAATTTATAGTCAGGCCCTCTAGATTTGCAGGTTCTCTGCATCCACAGGTTCAACCAAGCATGGACCCTGTAGTACTGTATTTACTGCTTAAGAATATCCATGTATAAGTGGACTCGTGCAGTTCAAACCCGCATTGTTCAAGGGTCAACCATATTTCTAACTTGTTATTGTTTGTATAAAAGAAAACTACTGATTTTATAACATTAACTTTGAAATTGTCTGCCTTACAGAATTCTCTTATTGGCCCTAACAGTTTTTCAGTTAATACTACAATCATATCATAGGCAAATATTTACAACTTCAGTGTGTTCATTCCAATATTTATATATCTCACATGTAACTGAATCAATTTTGCATGCCTTAGTGATGGTATATTACTCTTTCAATGTGCTACTAGATTCCATTTGTAATATTTACTTTATGACCACTGTCTAAGTGAGATTAGACTACAATTTTCTTTGTATTTCTTTCAAAGGTTTAGCATCACTCTTTTTTTTTTTTTTTTTTTTTTTTTGCGATATGTGGGCCTCTCACTGTCGTGGCCTTTCCCGTTGCCGGACGCGCAAGCTCAGCGGCCACGGCTCATGGGCCCAGCCGCTACGCGGCATGTGGGGTCCTCCCAGACTGGGGCACGAACCCGTATCCCCTGCATCGGCAGGCGGACTCTCAACCACTGCGCCACCAGGGAGGCCCCACTCTTTTTTCTGATTTCACATCTTTCCTTCCTTTTCTATGCTTTGGAAAAGTTTAACTGGCATCAAAATAATCTTATCCTTTAAGATTAAAAGAATTCAACTGTGAAACTGCTTGGATTTAGTGCTTTTTGACACTCAATTTCTTCTTCCACAACTACTGTCTATTTAGATCCTCTCTCCTCTGAAGTCAACCTTGTTAATTTATATTTTCCTAGTAAATCACCTGGATTTATTTTAAATGGTACCAAGTAATTCTCTTACTTGCATAACAGCTGCAATAATTTTGTCTCACTAAAAAGGAAAAATACGAGCAAACATATAAATCAACATTATTGGAAAACACTCACAGACAGGATAAATTAAATGTATAAAACTTGGAGAAAATTACTGGTATATAGTTTTTTAGGCAGGCCATGGGTTTTGGAAAGAAAACCTTTAAATAGGGCTTTAGAAGTAGTGAAGTACTGCTAGGATGTCCATACCCAAAGAACTGTAAATAAGAGAGAAATAAAACTGACACTATGAACTGTTTAAAAAAATCTATTTCATGCTACAAGGTACAGAATCGTTTTCAATTAGATAGTTTATGTATTAAATATTTATGAACTATAATTGCAAAAACAACAAAACTGTGTGCAGTGCTCTTAAGTGTTACTACTCCAGCCATAAAATCTCTAAAAGTAGGTTAAATATCAAAGTAGAAAGTGACATTTAAACACTTAATGAGTACTTACTATGAGCTGGGCACTGTGTCAGAGACACAGAAATGGTGAAGACATGGTCTCTTGGTTCAAAAAACTTATTCCCTTAGCCCCTAGTTCCAACATGACACACTTATAATAAATTCAGTTATATATTAAAACATCAAGAAATATAAACAGCCCCACTATAATTTTGCTTCACAAGCTAGCAAATATAAAGTAGTTGAAAATCAAATATCAAACACACTTCATTATTGATACAAATATGTATAATTTTAAAACTGCTATCACTTTTCTATATTAATTTTAAATCCTGGCATTCTCAAAGTGGATAACATTTCCCTTACTAGGATAAGGCTGTAAGTACAGATAGAAGTCTAAAGAGGCCCTGAAAAAAGGGTCAGTAAAAGGCAGAAAGAAGCTCCCTTTCTACACTGTTTAATAAAATGAGCCTTTAATACAAGAAATTGGATTATTAAAATTTCAGAGAAGAATGAAATATCATGGGAAACACAATGAGCTCACTTGAAAATATCAACAGGATCCTCTGCCTTAATATTAGAATGTTAATGAATAACCAACAAAAAGTTAATATTCATATTACTGTTCTTTGAAAAAATTTTATCTATAATCACTACCGAGATATAAACAAATAAGAAAGTAGGAAGTACTTTGATACAGTAAAAACCTACCTGTGCACATGATTCTTCAGGTGTTTTGGCACTAACTGAATAAAGTGCTGGGAGATCTAGTCTGTGCACAGAGAATTTTTCTAGAGTGTGCAAAAGTGCTGGAGCAAGGTGAGAAGTTTGACCTGAGCCTCGTTCTCCAGACAGCAATAGTCTTGGCCTGTAAGAGGTTGGCTGATGATATGGTGACCTGCAATACACATAAGACATAATAATTGTTTCAAAACCATACACTCTAAAGATCAAAATAAAATATTAGGAAAATATCTACATAAAAGAATGTAATGCCAAATTAATAGAACTTTTTTTTTTACCTCTCATTTTTTTTAAGTACAGCAAAGCATTTTTTCAATAATTACAGTTTTAAAATACTGATCTCTCTGGCCATATTAATACCAAGACATAAAAGTATAAAAATCCATCCTAAAAGAAAGTTCATCCTATCATACCACATATATTAACTTGGAAAATGCTTCATACAGTATGATTTAGTTATTAATTAACCCAGGTCAAATGTTAAGAATTCCACTTCTCCAACAAAGAGGTACATCTAAAGATTACTCAAAATGTAGGACTTCTGGGCTCCCCTGGTGGCACAGTGGTTGAGAGTCCGCCTGCCGATGCAGAGGACACAGGTTCGTGCCCCGGTCCGGGAGGATCCCACACACCGCGGAGCGGCTGGGCCCGTGAGCCATGGCTGCCAAGCCTGCGCTTCCAGAGCCTGTGCTCCGCAACGGGAGAGGCCACAACAGTGAGAGGCCCGCGTACCGCAAAAAAAACAAAAAAATAAATAAAGAAAAATAAAGACTTAAATGTGTTCAAAATATCTCTAAAGAAAAATCACTTAAAAGTATACACAATCCAGTGTCTTCTAATAAAAGTCCTATTAGACCTACTTGACTGGAGCATTATGGTTCTTTAACTATCATGATAATTATGTAAATGCAAGTGATGACGCTGTTAGTATTTGAAAACTATTTAGTCTCTTAATTTAAAATTACATTAGCACTAAAATTGTTTACCCATTGAAGTGCACAGCAAAAGCTGCTTTAATACAGACAAAGGTAAATGTAAATAGAAAAAACATAAAATCTAAATTAGGAAAGTGTAAACTAATGAGGTTTTGGAGAATCAGAAAGTTATTTGTTTAGTTACTGAGCAATTTCTAATTCAAAACCTCTTTAGTACCCTTAGAAGCCTAAATTATCATATGAAACTTATTACAATCAAAATATTCTAGATCATGGTAAATATTTCATTTCTGTCCACTTTAGTTCAAATAAAAAGCAGTAAAATTGGGGACATGGGTTTACTTTCTGAAGGCAACCCTTCCTTCTACCCTACTTAAAAAAAAATAATAAAATCCCACAATCATTTTAGGAAAAAATATATTGAGTTGACCAATAAACCAATTTATTACCACACAAAAACAAAGACACAGTAAAGTTTTCCAGAATTGTGTCCAAACAACAGAAAAACAAAGTCCTCCAGGTTACAAACATAAGTAAAAATATACGGTAATTCTAGCTATAAAGTAGTAAAAAATCACTCTAAATTGAAAGAAATTTCAATATAAATTGAAATCAATGATATAAATTGCTTACATTGTAAAATGAAGGTAAGGTTTATGTACAGCAGCAGCTGATGACTGTTTCTTTGGTGATCCTGAGTGACAACTGGTCTCGAAAATTGATAAAGCATTCTCATCTTCACTATCATCTAAAATCAGAGTTTCTATATCTGTTTAAAAAAAAAAATCACGAAGATTATGAGGCTTAAAAAGTCCTTTAATATTAGTGCCCTACCAAAGCTAAGAAACACTGGTTTAAAAATCAAGTGGCAAAAACTAATAAGTTATCCATCAAATAACACAGATTGTCCAAGGAAATTGACAAACTACAGTATTCTGAATAATTTACAAATGGAACCAATGTAATTCTTTCACCTTTACAGACTACTTAAGTGTTACGAGATGCATTTTGGGAGACTACAAGAACTCTGGAAAAGAAATGGCACTCTCATAAAATACTCACCTACTTACTAAAAATTTCTAAGTTAATTTTGACCAAAACCAGTACATTTAATATAAATAAGATGGTTTAATTAATAGAGTAATTGAAGTATGGCCCAGTTCTTACAAAAGCAACAAGGGACAAATTGACCTTTATTTTTTCACATGGCACACACACACATATTTCAAGGAAAATCTAGTCTTAGTTAAGAAGGGACTCAGGAATTCAGTGGGAAAAAAACCAATCTTAAAAAATGTACTCGTCTACAGCCATACGACCCTGAACGCGCCCGATCTCATCTGATCTCGGAAGCTAAGCAGGGTCGGGCCTGGTTAGTAGGGGCTTCCCTGGTGGCGCAGTGGTTGAGCGTCTGCCTGCCAATGCAGGGGACGCGGGTTTGTGCCGCGGTCCGGGAGGATCCCACGTGCCGCGGAGCAGCTGGGCCCGTGAGCCATGGCCGCTGAGCCTGTGTGTTCGGGGCCTGTGCTCCGCAATGGGAGAGGCCACAGCAGTGAGAGGCCCGCGTACCGCAAAAAAAAAAATGTACTCATTCAAGTAACACTGGGTCTTAAGTTATTGTTTGATGGACTAACGGGAACTAAAATTCCTATTGAAAGTGCCATACTTAAAATTTTACCTGGGCTACAACCTAAAGTATTAATAGCCGTAATTCATACATACCTAACAAAAGCGTCAATTCATTCAATAAAAAGCAATGCTACATGTGTAGGAGAAATGGGAGGAAATTAAGATTGACAGAAATCATATCCTTCCCCAAAAAAACAAAGAAAAAAAATAGGCATGCTTTCTAAAATGAGATACTGAATTGTGCTGGCAGACACAGATTTCAATGGCTTTTAAAAGCCAAGTATTTAATACAACTAATATTGTAAAGGTTAATCAGAAAATAATTGAGTACCATGTGATTGATAATTTCATATATAAGGAAAGGATACTTGTCTAACAAAAATATTAAAGACCAAAACAATCCAGAATAATATACCTAAATAACTAAAAAACAATGATTAATAATCAAAGAAAATTTGGTTTCTTTCCTCCACTGGTATGTGAAGGAAAAAAACGAAACTAAAGCATACTTTATACTTATGGGGATAAAATGGTATGAAAACAAAGATAATAATGCCATAAAAAAATTCTCAAATGCAAGTAAAGAAGTTACAATCTCTCAGAAGAGAAGGTAAGATTTTTATGACCTTTTAAAGGTGACATAGTCTTTTAAAAATTAAAAAAAATTGGGAAAAGATACATATCTTCAGTTTTGAAAATCAGAGATAAGAAATGTACAGTTCATGGCAGAGTAGCTGGCTCATACATAATATTTGTTCTCCTCCTCATTTGACAAATTTAAGAAATCAAGTAATCGATGTGATATTTCATGAGGATCTACCCTAAAAAAAATTTTCTGAAAAATACATATATGACAAGCAAAATTCATTGAATATCGATGATTTTTACTATACAGTTTTACCATTAACATAATTCATTGGACAATTTTTTATACAGTGCAGACTACATGTTAAACAAAGAAAATTAGGATAATTTTTTTAAATTACTGTCTCTTCTAAGTTCATGGGCTTTTACTTTGATTAGCACAGGAACCTAGAGCTTTCCTTTTTTTTTTTTTTTTTTTTTTTTTTTTTT